AAAGCTATCGATGCAAAAAAATTCGATGTAGGTGAGATTTCGGGGACCGTAAAGCGTCGATATGTATCTGAGTGACGCTTATCAACATTTTACAGTGCCTAAAATCTTACTGACATTGAATTTTTTGCATCAATGACTTTGCGTTTTAGCTCCGAAGCTCAAATTGGACAGGCCTGATCTAGAAGTTTACTTCAGCTGATCTTTTCCAAATGTTCCTTTTGCTATCTATAGAAGTTCGGCAGATTTCATTCTTTCTAATTTCTCTTTCAAATTTCAAGTCCTTTCCCTCTTTCTTTCACTTTCCCATTTTAAAGGCTAAATATTTTATGATTCATTAAAATGCGAATAATCCATTATTTTTAATAAAGTTCCCTTAAATATTATTAAAACCGGTAGTATTTCGTAATATTGACGTAACATTCAAATAAAAACGTATTTATTACTATAAAATAAGTAAAATTCTATTTTCTCGTATATAAAAATTACACGTTGAGATATTAAAATATGTATTATATTTGCTTAAAATTACCAAACCCTATTTTTACATTAATTTACATCAAGTATTTGCAAGTCAGCTCGGCAGTTTATATCGATTATTAATTCATTTATATAATTACCAGCTGGCGTGTACCGTAACCCATTACGACCGAAACGCCTCGTCGTCATTAAACTATGATAACGAGGCCTCCGGGGAACGATAAGCCGGTGCTTAACGTAACTCCTTTTACTCACTCCTTTAACCTAACTTAACCCGATATGCCAACACGACACCTGCCCCTGAGCGAAATGTCGATTTTTCGAATGGCACATTGAAATTTCTTCGAAGAGCACCTTTGTGCATACTTCATCGGATCGCCCTGATTGCATCTCCGAACGTCATGCGCGATATTTTAATGATTACCTGCTTTGTATCGAGTACTTGGAGTCCATACGCGGTTATTTCGTCGAAAGAAGATCCTGCACGATAAAGCTGCACGCGAACATAGTAATTTTAATATAGAATAGCTCGTGCGTAAAATGATTACATGTGATATGTACATTACAAGGTATTAGACACTGAGTGTGTCTGGCTTTAACGCTTTAGAAGCTATTGAAGCTACGTCGAGATCGCGGTGAAAGTTCGCAAAACTGCGAATAATAGTAAAACATCCTAATTACGCGAATATCGGAAGAAAATGCAGATCGCCGTATCCACTCTATCTGCCGCAGTGCGACGTAGAAAAAGTTAATGTCAATCGATGGAAAGCACGTCGTTACGCGGCGATTATTCCGCGGAATCGCTGTCGGCGTGAACAAGCGCGCGAAATGTTTTGCCTTTTCGAAGCGTCGTGATTTTTTTATTAGACATGCCATTGTAGTCCCTCGACGAAATGGAAGACGAGGATTTCTACATCTGGAAAACTGCCGCTTGTTCACAGTGTGCCGCGGCACACTGACAAAAAAGCACCGTGACTCGATGCTGCGAAGAGAAATCAGGCGACAGATCGATCGACGGGTGGTAAAGCCACACCGTCTCGGTGAAGACGCGGTCTTCTTAATCTCGTCCTCGCTTGCGCCCTGCTGTTCCTAAGTTTGTTTACTATTTTTGTCAGTCGCGTTGTTGCTGCCAAAGCCAGATCTTGTTCCATCGCGAAATTCATTTAATGCGAAAAAGCGTGCTAATTTATCTTGTTGCGCGTAAATGGATAACGTTCGTGACCGCGACGATTTTTTTCTTTCTTTTTTTTTTTTTTAGGACAGCCGCGCCTAATTGGATCACCCACGTATCGCGGAATCATCTGATGCCCTAAAAAGTCACCCGCGTCGTAGGAGGTCCTCCCGAGAATAGATTTATTAATTTCATGGAATTGTTTTTCATGGATCCCTGGGATTGCATGTGAGAATCGCACGGTCTGATCAAGCGGAACCCCCACAGGCCGTGCCGAATCTCGGTTTCCCGTTCTCTAAGTCGGACGATCTTTCACCAGAGATCTATTTGACTCTAGTCTCAAGTGTCTAAGATGTTGCCTAAATTTAAAAAAAAATAGGCAACCGTTAAAAAAGAAAAACCTGATACAATTGACATAATTATGAACAACAAATAATCGATCTTTTAATTTCTACAACGAGATGACTTTGCGAAGCTGCGATTCGTCGCGAGTGACGATTTCCGGGTACGAGCCGTCTTCGCGTCTACGGAGAGAGCGTGCATTGTGTGCGAGACAAAATGTAAGAAAGGAACCGGCAAGAAACGCCAAATCGGAGCAACGCGAGCAGCGAGGTCAGGAGGCTGCCTGTCTGGGTTGAATGGCAGCATTTAAAACGGCTTAAAGTCACCGTGGACGTAATCAGACCTGTCGATCTTCGGCAGCGCCCCGTGCTCGCCATAATCCCCCAAGCACGAGATGAACACGTTGGGACCTCATTCAACGAGGCCTGGTCGACGATGCGGCCGGTGTTCCTCGACGATCCGAAGAGGATCTCCGCGCGTCGGCACTAATCATTGTGCCCCACGCGATATGAGCCCATAATAAGCCCACGTCGCTTCCATCGTTGTCCGGTGCCGATATAAGAATAAAGACTGTCCGTCGATCGGCCCGCTCTGGTTTTCTCTTCTCACCTCCCCCTCGAAGAATTGGAACCCTCTTCGTCACCCTACGTCTCGAGCCTCTCATTGTAATCATGAATCGCGGTACTGGAACGTACTGATACACCATATATACATGGACCGTCGTGTTTCCTTGTCATCCCATTGCTGGCCGATATGAATCCCATGTCTGTGCAACAGATAAGATCGTGATCGATGGTACGTGCGATCGATATTTCGCCCTCGCGTCTCCGTTTGGACGTCTCTCTCTTTATACGTTTTTTTGTATGAAAAATTAGGTTTCTCCAGCGAGCTCTTACGCAACTAGATATACCTAGCTCGTAATCAGAATTAAATCACTTGGAAAGTCATTTATGTAGCAATAGTGGAGCAAAGCATCTTATGATGCGTATATAATAAGAAATAGAATGGACGAGAGTGTTGCCATAACGCTGCGAAAAGCGAGCGTTCACACAAAAATTAGGGTCGCCTCTACGATTGTAATCGCTGTCGTAACGCAGCAAGGGCCGGTACCACAGACGCAAGAAGTCGCCGCCGTACAGGATGTCGGGATAATACACATTATAGTCCAGCCGTCATTACGTGCAAGTCCACCGTCCTGCGATACGTGCGCAACGCGAACCGGAAGGACGACTCCCGCGTATCTGCTTTTCCTGCATGAATGAAATGTAATTTAAGCTTACTCAAGCACCCGTATTTTCATTCATCCCGCATTAAGGTACGGACGCTTCTTGCAAGTTTCTGCGCAACGCCGTTTCATCCGCAGCGGACATCCACTTAGACATCGTCGTCGACTGCGATTCTTTCAGACGATTTTTATTTTCACTCTTTTTCGTCTTTATTCGGGAACACCTGACGAGCATTCGCGACGCTGAACCACTGTCGCGAATCGTTACAGAAGATTTGAATCGCTCCTCAGGTGGAAAGCGACTCGGCAGCCTTTAATTTGACGCGACGCGTCAAGGTAACGTCAGGGGCAGGAGAGAGAACGGGGCGTACGGAAAGGGGCGGGAAGGGGGTAAAAATCGGTGAGGAATCATGGCTGGATGCACTCCCTCCCTGTGTTCACGCACTTTTACTGTCGGCCAGTATCGGTATTGCCCCTGCATTTTTCGAAGAGGGGGAGACTGTAGACTGTGGACGACCGACCTGTTGAGCGCGTCGTCGTCGTGTCGAGTCGAATTGCGTGTAACGCGATGTACATAGCGACTGCAATGAAAAATTGCAGCAGCGCTTTTACAACGATTACTGCTCAGTTGAGAAAAACTCGCTTCGCGACCCGTAATTCGCCGAC